TCACAACTGGTGAATCAATAACTGCTTGTCATGCTGGAGGTCATCAATTGAAACATGGAAACACATTTATGTAATCAGCCACACAGAAGAAGGGTCAAGAGGGGAAAAAAAAAAGTCCTCTACTGTTTTTTTTGTTGTTGTTTTTTTTACGACTGGTTGAAACATTCCTTGTGTTTGATGAACAAATTAGATTAACTTCACTGAATAAATATTAATCAGTGATAGTGTGGCTAGATTTGGATGGTGAGTGTTCAGCACGCAGCGAGAGGAGTTAACAGTAGAGAGAGGCTCAACTTGCTGCAGCTGTTCCACTTGTTGACATCAGCTCAGAGCACGTCTGTTCCAGAATGTGAAGATATTAACTTTCACCTTCTTTAGCTGTCCCTGTGTTTTAAAATAGTGCAAATGATCCGAATCATGCAGTAAACAACATAGGCTTTCCTCGTGTGCTATGTTGTGTGATCCTTCAAGTAGGGTTTATGTAGTTATTGCCTCTATTATTGCTTCTTACTGTATATGGTGGCTCAGGTTGAGGAATCATCACTTAAATAAGCTGAGTCTGAATTCTCCCTCTTTAATTTTACATCGTTGTATCATGTGTTAAGGTCATGTTCTCATTTGGTTGTGATCCAACATTTCTTCAACTACTTGAGGTCTTTCTGTTTTTATGAAGAATGGAATTGATTAGATTACAGAAAATCTTCACTTATTGTATCCTGTTTGCACATAACACTCCAAATACCAATGGTGCCATTGGTAGTTAGAAATGTAGAGGGTTGAAAGTAAATCCATCCATCTTCTCCTGTTTATCTGTCAGGGTCATGATTGGGTTGGTGCCCCTTCTCTAGTAGTCTATTGGTGAAAGGCGGGATGCACCCTGGACAGGTTGCCAGTCTGTTGCTGGGCAACACAGAAACACACAACCATGCACACACCCTCCAGTTAACCTAATTGGTCATGCTTCGGACTGTGGAAAGAACCCTGCATGTATGGGGAGACTATGCAAACCCTGGGCCAGGAATCGAACCTAGGACCTTCTTGCTGCAAGGCAGCATCACTACACTCTGCATCACCATGCAGTCCTGTGAAGCTAAATCAATTTTCTGTTATTGAATATATGCTAGTATCTGCCAATGCAGTTTGAAGATTCATTTGCTTTTTATCGAAGAATAAAAAAATTTTGCATCCCCACAATTTGAGACAGCAGATATGAGTAAGTGGTGCTGTTAAATATGGCACAGGGTATCTAAAGCCTCTTTCCCACTGAAAACAGCGAGTTAATGCAAGTTTTTCAAACATGGGTCGACCTGCTAACAATTGGCATTTGGATCCCTTCCCACTGGGAAAAAAAGCTGGGTTTAACCCCTAGCGTGTCTGGTGATGCCATCGTGCAGGGTTGGTGTTGATGATGTCACCAGAGTGACCAGTGCAGTTGTGCTTTATTGTTTAGCTCTATTATCTTTCTGAATCTCTCTTACCAGTGCTACACCATGTTTATAGATTTAAGCAGAGTTATTTCGGCTTGTTAGATCAGACATAACTGGTGTGGTAGATGTCTATACGTTGCTCTCAATGATTTCACATGATTTAGCTGGTCAACCCAGGTCTGGTGATCCCACAGCATGCTGATCCGAGCCATGGGTAGACACACGTCAGGGAGCTGTTCGCCCTGCCACTAAAAGCCATTTTTTCCCGTATTTTAAACTTTTTTTTTTTGTCCAGCCAGTGGGAAATGGGTCTAATAAACACAGACAAAGACTAAAAACAAACCTCACTACAAAAGATCCACTGATGTTAAAACAATTCCATGCCGACTAATTTTTATGTCTGCTGCAATATCTCTATTGACCTTAGCTTAAGACTACATATGAAAAAAATACTTTATATGTATGTAACCCTCTATATACATTTGCACATATTTATTATAATCATTTATGTGTGATTCTAAACCTATAAATTTTTTTTTATTTGTTTATAAGGCTCTATTTTATCATACAGCTGCAAAAGTTAGAGTTAATTCTACAACAGAAGTTAAAATACTTCAATACTGCTTATTCAAATACAAGACAACCTGTTGGTGGAAAGACTAAATACGAATGTTTAACACAAAGCATGTATTTTTTCCCATGTGTAAAGGTTCGGGCAGTTCAGAATCATACATCTAATCCTTCCTGCCAATGAGTTCAAGAAGCTAAAAATAAGACCTGGGTTGTATTCTAAATTGTTTTTCTCTTTTTGGTTCATTTAAAGTTTATTCCATTCCAAAGATTTAACCAAAAATAATTATATAATTTCCACATCCTGTAAAATCAACTTTAAAATGTCTTAATTTATGTCCAGGATGTAATAATGGGCCAGCTTTGTCAAACAAACCTCTGTATTCACAGAGCCAAGACACTTTAAAGTTTTTAATAAAAGGGAAGAACATGTTAATAAAACATGCACTCTATGTTACAGCGCTCTTTACTTAGGACCACCTGAGGTGAAATAATAAATCCTCCTCTTATGGCTTTTATTTTAACTAATATATGCATTATAGTGTTGTAACACAAATAGATGACATGAAGTATTTTAGAGAAACAAACAAATCCGGTTTGGTATCCATCATATATATATATTTTTTTTATGAATTCTTGTGATATGGCCTAATGGAACTGGCTGGGGACAGTCACCCTGTCTAAGTTCACATCATGTCAACTCAACCCTGACCACCCTGTCCCTTTCAGACAGAAAGCTATGGTGCAATAGAAGCCTAAACACTACAGCATGTTGCATAAGGTTATTTCACCCCAGGGCTAAAGCATATTCTGTCCATAAAGACATATTTTACTTTGCTCCGTTAAACTGACCCATGCTGAATTTTCACCCTTGGCTAGCCCTACGTTTTGCATTGGGGAAGCAAAAATAAACCATGTTTTCTCCTTTTTGTCTGTCTGGGGCCTGAGGCAAAGGAATAGATGGATTGTTAACAAGAAAAAAATAGAAAACAGGTGAATTTACTTGCAAGGTCATCTCTCTCTATAGCTCTATCTAACTCCGTCTCATCACCAATTTTACTAACTTCAGGGGAGCTTAAGAGTGGTTGGCAAATGCTTATACTGAAGTTCCATGCCTAATAACAGTCAAAAGGTCGTGAGATCTGGCAAGAGATTGAGGAAGCATTTCTTAAGTGGAGTGCACATATATACTAAATCTTGCTCGCACTCTTCTGTCAAACTCTTGGTCCCTTGGGCCAGAAGCACAAGTTCCCAAACTTCACTTTAACGGGCAGAAAATAGGCAGCGAGTCCATCTTCTGCACTTGCTTGTTTGCAAACCCAGACAATAAAAAAAGAAAGAAGAAGCTAATCAACTCTGACTCCTGTCCTTGTTTGCTTAACTGCCAATTAACTGTCAAGACATTGTAAATTACTTCTGTATCAAAGCCCACATTCAACTGAAATGCAACAAATACATCTAGTAGAGTTTTTCCTTTCACATGAGTCTTTTAAGGAAATATTATGTAAGCTCTAAGCCATAAAAAGCCTTTCTTTATTATATAAAAAAGGCTGTTTTGGTTCGAGTGAGAATCTGCTCTGCTATGCAACGTGGGTGCTCTAAAAGTATTCGACTCACATTGAGTGTTGTCATTCATGCATAAGGTTATATGACTCCGACAAACACGCAGAGCATGTTGAAACTGAGCTTTTGTTAGCCTGCGCTGCTAACTTTCACAGATAAAGGAAGAAATAATAGTGAGACTTAAATAACCATCTGAGTGGGCTTTATGCATTCATCCTATGCCCTTAAGAGCAGCAGGCCGTCAAGAAATGTTCATTGACTTCTGCAGACTTTCATAAGTATGTTTATATAAACTGCAACAATAATCAGAGTGGATTTAAAGCATCGGGTCTTACCACCATTTGACTTCAATAAACTCCCAAACAAATGCAACATATTGGGTTTTAATAGTGAGAAGATTGCAGAGATTTAAAATTTGCACCTTTTTATACCACAAAATATATCTTGACTCCTCCTTGGGACTATTTTGCAACCCTAGTTATAAGGCAACTCTATACTGCACAGTTGCTGGTTTTCACTCAATGTCTCTAAGCATGAAGCAAATTATTGGCTAACTGCTAAAATTTGCTTTCATGGTTTATTATTTTGGTAGTTTGATTTCTGTTAATATGTCATACCAACTGTACATTTTAAGATAAATTAGAATAGGGCATAGATGAGAAATTTAGAGATTAACAAGAACAGTGGCAATTGAAACTTTGTCAAACTAAAGCAAATGGTGGGTTTATGGAAACTGCTTCAGATGTATTTGCTTTAAGCATATTTTAATTTTTAATAGGGATCTGCTATGATGAGAATATTCTTTTATTCATAATTCAAATTGGGAAAGATGAATTAAGGTACAAAATATGCGCATTTTATTGTAAAGGTTAGAATACCGCCTCATTTTAAGTTTTACATACCTGCAGAGGAATAATCAACATTTTTCAAACAAGTAAAAATATCACAAAATATAAGCCAAAAGCCTCCATTTTTACTTTATTAAATACTTTATATGGGGAGTAAAGATCTGTAGACCATAAACTAAATAAAAAACTAGAAGCTTCATGTCAACTGGAGGAGGGTTAATATCACTCGGACTGCGTTTGCTATGGCTGGAGCATCCCCTCTTCTTGATTTTCACATTTACCCTTCTTTGCATTTCCTTTTGTTTCAGAAGAGATTAAAATAGATTAGTAAACGCAAACAGCTAAATGTAAATGAAAAACAAATGTTATATAAGCCTGTAAACTGTAAGCAAGAGAATTCAAAACTACATGAGTAATTGGGAATATTGAGATTATTTTTCCTACTTGCTTTGATTGTTTTATCTTCCTGCATTTTAATCATGTAAATCACTTTGCATTGTCTTTGTACTGAATTGTGCTATACAAATAAATTTGCCTTGCCTTATAAATTGATGAAGATTTTACCAGAAATGACGACTGTGTCAAGCTTTACTGAATACAGCCTTTATTTATTTTTTTTGTCTTTCTATAGTTCAAGTTTGTCAGTGCCACCCAATGAAAAGCGGCCAAAAAGATTGAAAAAGTAAGAGGTAGAGCAAGTGTTCCATTCTTACTGTGATCAGTGTAAATATAAAACCAAGACTTTTATACATAAAAGGATTGACCATCTAAAAGGAGGCCAACTGATAGAAAAAAAAGGTTTCAAGAACAGCAGCTTCTGAGGTTTTGCTAGCGTTCCCTTATTATTCCAAATAATGAAAACCAACTCACTAGTTTCCAAAAAGAAAGTGGCAAAGCTTACCAGAGACATTGCACAGACAGCTATAGTATTATCATTGGTTTCTGAAAAGGAAAAGGAAAACTGCCTCTGCATAGTATGTATAGTCTGACAGGAATAATTTATGCCTCTGCATAGAGTATGGGAGAGCACAGAAAACCAGAGCAGCAGTCCTATAAATGTAGGATATTCAGCTGGCCATATGAGTACAGTCTGTGTATATCTGGCACACTGCATTTAAACTAACACTAACAACTTCCATCCAGCTACACTGACAGGTTTAGACAGTGTCATGTTACATAAAAAAAATAGGGAATAATATTTACATCTTCAGCATATAAATTACTTCCCTAAAACACCATCTTTGTAAGGCATATTAAGCTCTCTGGAACAATCAAACACAAAAACATAAGTGCCTCATACAAAAAGATTAAACTGACTTCTGATTTCAAAAGATGGGCACAAGCAGAGAAAACATTGAAATATTGATAAAACATAAATCAAAACCATAGCAAGTCCAAAAATAGGAAACAGAATTAATGCAGTTTTACATCAGAACAACTTGGAAAATGGCACGTAGAAATAGATCAAGCTTTAAGCTTGATTATGAAAACCCCTGAATACTATCAGGTAGTAACATCACAACACTTGAGCTGACTCTTTGATACCAGAGAGGGATGAATACAGAGCGATGGCTGCTTCTGATCGAAGCCAATACGGGATGCTTTACAGTCACAACGCCGAGTACTCCAGGAATGAATCCTCCTGCCCGGAAGGTGAACCTCTGACATTTTCATTCAGTTTTCTCTTCGCCCCTGAGCCTCCCACAGGCTGCAGCCTTTGTTCTGACCAATCACATCATGGCAAAAGGAGGTCAGACAGAGAAGGCTTGGGTGTCGTTGTATTCGCACTTCAACCATAAACAGTATCAAAACCTTCACTATCATGAGAAAAACGTTTTAAATATGCAAAAAATAGCTTTCAGCACACCCAAATAAAAGAGTTGATTTTGCATATATAATTCATCAACAAGATGTTACAAACATATAATGAGCTGGCTCTGAGGAGTTAGAGGGAATATGTGTGTGTTATGGGGGCCAATACAAAACAGCTGATTGAACCGAGTTCATATTTTGTCAAGTTGGAGAGCTGCCCACACACGAAGCTTAAAGGAGTGACCGCATAAGTTCACTTTACCATCGCTCTCCCTGTCCTGAGGTGCTGTCAGTCTAATTTATCCTCCCATAATGGGAGCGTTTGGGAGTCTATTATTCCAGTGAGTTTAGTTTTGTTTTTTTTACTCATTAAAAAAAAATTGGGAGGGGCCATTGATTCGATGACAGGTCCACATGTTGACGAGGTGGAGCCTGCATTGAGCCCATCAATCATCCAGGATGACCTTGACGAAGCTGGCCACATCTGTCTCTTTAGAGTCGTGCAGAGTGAAAAATGGATGCTTCTGCAGAAAAAGAAGAATGAAGAGGTGAGAAACCAGTCTTTGAGCTCAGAATCTTACATTTAAATGCTGTTTAAACAAATAACTGCGAACACTCATAGTGAGTTAATGGGATGAGTCTGACCTCTTGTGGATGAAAAACAGAAGAGAGAAACAGAAGGACTGACAGTAATTATGCTCTATTTATAGGAAGCAATGTTAAAGAAAAAATTACTAACCATTAATTCTGTGTAGGCCGGCCTTTCATCTGGTCTCTTTCTTAAGCTGCAAGGAGCAGAAAATAAACATATTTTTTTAAATATTAATAAAAATATCTATCATAAATTAACAAAGCATGCAAAGAGTGCAGACCTAAAAAAAGTTATAATGCTGAAACCTAATATCCTTTAATTGAACAGAGAGCAAATAGTGACCCCTGCAGGGCCTCTGAATTTTATGTTCTCTGCAACTGTAGCAGTGATTGAGATGCTGACTGCTTGCGGGAGGCTCACCATTGCGAGATGAAGTCTACGAACTCTGGGGAGAAGCGATCTGAAGGCAGCTGTGGGGACGGCTCGTCCACCACTTGCTTGAGCTGCTGGAATGGGGTACCCCAAGAGTCATATGGGAATTTCAGAATGGCCAGCTCAATCTGTGAAGAGAGAGAGGAAAAATAAGAAAACCTGCTTTAACCAGAGCTGTTCAAATTCCTGTGCAATTTCAGGGCTTTACTTTAAGGTCATGCATCTATTAAATGTTTATAAATGCTGGAAACTATCTGAAACTGAAGGTATTTGAAGGATATTTGTATGACTATGTCATCCATATATGTCACACAATGTCCTAATTATTCTATCAAATATTTTGCATATGAATGTATATTATACATTTATAAGATTTGCAGAGAAGCAGTTTTAGGGAATTTAGGAGAAATAAAGATTTGATTTATGTTTGAAAATAAACAATCAAATGTGTTTTACATTAGTTAATGGTATAGTTTGAGCATTTTTGTGATTTTTTTAAATCACCTGCCCTCTCCACTGAAAAAAAGCACTTGCACAACCCCATACCCGCTGTTGAGAGGGAACGCCTATTAAACACATGCAAGAACATTCACAAGCCTATTTCCCTTTTGCACGCTGTTAAAAAGTTGCTGTTTGCATCGCTCATGCAAGCTTACTGCAGTTTTTTCACTACGTCAGACTCACCACTGGTAATTGAAAATGGAGACGAGCAAGTAGGACGGCCTTACGTAAACATATCACCAGAATGATTGACAATTAGGAGGACCACTTATTTTGATGATCCACCCAGAAAAAAAAACATCCTCCACTATACCTTTATAGCTGTGCAATATGACTAAAACATAGGTAACAATATTATTCAATTCATATTGGTCAATATTAATATTTATTGATTAGTGTGCTGTTTTACCATTTAGAAATTAGTGACATTGGTAAAGTCAGAAAACTGTAACTATAGCCCTATCTACAGAGAACTGACATGATTACATAAGGCTAAAACATTAACACTGAGCCAAAGGAAAGAAAGAAGAGCCACACGTAACATTGCTCACCATAGTGATGCCAAGACTCCAGATGTCTGATTTAACACTGTAACCCTGTTGATTGAGGTCGGGGTTGATCCTCTCAGGCTGAAAGGAATAGAATTTGCAACATAAGGAATACATCAACAGCAAAGGCCATCATTTATTTCGGCACCAAATAAAAATTTGACCAATTCCACTGGACCAACAGCAGATGTCAAGTTAATTTCACCCTCCTCTTTACCCCCCTTACCGCCATGTACGGCTTGCAGCCGACGTCCAATGTTTTGGCCACAGAATCCACCAGGTGGCCGCTGATGCCAAAGTCACACATTTTCACCTGACCCTGAGCGTTGATCAGGACATTGGAGGGCTTCACATCTGAGGACGGAGGTTGAGAATGTGAGAGAATTTAAAACCCTTAGAGCATGATGGAGCTGTACAGTGTTATCATTGGGAAACAGATCTTCCTTTTGCTTACCTCTGTGTATCACTGAGAGGTTGTGGTGCAGATGTTCTAAAGCCTTGACAATCTATGGATGAATTATAAGAAAGGAAATGCTAAAACCTATGCAAATTAAATGAAACCATTATCCAGTTGGAGAGAGAGTTTGAAAAGAAGGACGTACTGCTACTGTGATTTTGCCCAGGATGTCCTCTGGAATCGTCTGGCCTTTCTGAATAACCTTTTTATAGAACTTATCCAAAGACGTGTCCATTAGTTCCATGCAGATCCAAACATCTCCCTGAAGAACAGTTAAAGTTGTTAAACGTACAGATAAAAACAAAATAAAAAAATAAAAATGCAGGAATATTGACTTCATAACATCGGTAAACAGCTGTTACCTCTCTAAAAAGGGCACCGTAGAAAGTCACAGTAAAGAAGCAGTCCACCGTTCTCATGGAAATGTCCAAGTCCATCAGGAGCCTCTTCTGCTCCAGACTATTAACTGTTGCACGAATCCTCTGAGGAAACCAGCAGCACAGACTTACTTACAAACCCATTTATGGTACTTAAAAAAACTAAATGTAACAATAAACAAAAGAAATACAACTGTGAGCTTCCCAGTCTACCTTGACGGCCATGATTACACCACTGGGGACGTGTTTCATCTTGTCCACCACTCCGTAGGCGCCCCTCCCCAGCTCTTCAATCTGCTCCAGGTCATCAGCTTCCACCACAAAGTTCTGTATCAGCAGTCGGGAAAATGTTACTGTTGCACATCTTCGGCACAGCAAGCTATCAGGGTAGAGGAAAACAAAGCTTTACCTGATCTCCGATTGTGACACAAGCCTTAGAGTCTAGGTCTCGAGGAGGCCTGCAGACATAAAAAAGAGCAAAATGATATGAAAGAAATAAACAGTCCAGGGGAGGTGAAACTACTAACTTACTCTTTATACAGTGTTTTGCTACAGGGTTTACAACCTATGCTAATTGTCATATTTTTGTCCCTTAATAACTTAAAGTAATGGTGCAACAAAAAGTTAAAATAACTGTCAAATGGAAGAAAAAGGGTGCATTTTCTAATCAAGTCCAAGTTTCTCATGGTTGCGGTCAATTCACATATCGGTAATTTGTCAGACCTTTGCTGCTTTGGCTTTTATTAAAAAAAAAAAAAAAAGATTAATTTATTAGAGCCTAAACAAAATGCAGCAGAGCAGCCTCTAGGGGGCATCAGAGAGTTTTTCTTTATTAAATCCCTTTTCTGTGAAAAGTTAATAACATGACATTCAAATTGATGAAAAAACACCATTTGTTATATAAAAAAAACCGCATATTTAGGCCATCTTAAAGGTCTGACTTTGGATTTACAAGAATTAAGTAACAAAAATAAAACATTTTTTATATTTTAGAACTGTCCCCATATAGCAATGTTTTTAAACACAGCCCGTTAAAAAATAAGTTTTAGGCCAGTTATTTAATACTATATATCATTTTTTAAACTTTAAACAAGTTAATGATTTAATAAATTAAGACCATAGACAATCGTAGCTCTTAATAACATGTTACGAGTGATCAGTTTGCTATACTGTTAAATTACAGCTTTCTGTTTATTGGAAATAGTCTTGTTGAAAACAAATTTTGAGCAAATCAGGTGTCCCTTTTTCTGGTTTTATTGCTAGAATGAAGAGAAGAGCCTTACGCTGTAGCTTGGGGCGGTGTAGGTGGAAGATCATCTATGCGTAGCTTCTGCCCTGGGTTCCTCTTCTTGCCTACAAATTAAAAAAAAACATACATTACAACCCCAACTCCAACACATGTTTAACAATAAACCAAACTAGCAAATCCCATAAACTGAATCATTACAAAATAACCGTAAGAGACAAAAGATTGCCCCTCAAACTTTTTATTCACCAATGCATCAACCTGGTAACTTCAACTTGATCGTTAATTCTTACAATAGGTTCCAAGCTGAAAATCCTGGTAATATTATCATTCCAGTTTTGACGAGGTCGGGGCAAAATACAACAAGATTTCCAAACATTGGTGTTTCACATCTGCAAACTGAAGTTTTTAAAAGGACATGTTAGAGAAAGTGATGGATTAGCAGGAGGTTTTCCTCAGATTTATGCAGTATATTGAAACCCAGCACTGCCCCTCTCCTACCTGTTGCTGCACAATGCCAGTCAGCTGGCCGATACACGTTTCCCCCTCTTACTAAAGAAATTATTTAGAAATATACCCAGTGGTAAAACAATAAAATAAAAAATCCAAACACTAAAGGAGATCTATTAATAAAGGTAAACTTTTTATTATGGAAAATATTAGGCAAAGAGCAGCACATCTATTATGCAATCACCTGCAAAACAGTTTCTTTAGCAGATGGTTCAACAAAGTAACCTGCTAAAAAGCAGCTAGTTATAATTATGTTACTCTACAAATCACAGAACAGGAAATAAAGGTATATATGTGGTGCAATAAGAAAATGAAATAAAAGTTATGACTAAATCAAGCATGTTGCTTAAATCCACATATCCAGTTATAAAACAATACATGGTAGAGATTATATTAGATCAGTGAAAAATCCATATATTACAGTATTTAGGCAGCATCATATTTTCTTTTTCATATTTTATTTAAAGAGACAATCCCTATTGCTCAAATACAATAAGTAATGCACACAATGTCATTAGAACATATTGCAGATGTGTTTTGTATTTTCTTAGAGATCATCTAAAGTCATAATAATTGGTATAATAAAAAAAAAAGAATTAGCATAATTTGAAATAAAGAACTGAGAAAAAAATTACTATTAGCTTAGGTAAGAAGTGAAAGGCATGTAGGTGAAAGGGAAGCATAACTTCCTCTCAAGTTTTTTTTTTTTTTTTCAAGGTATAACACTGAAAAGTCGTTCTTCTTTGTTTATATAAATCGTCCTACATCGGTTTTCACATGTTGTACAAACCCCTTCCATTGTTCCTACAGCACTGTGAGTTAGCATGAGCAGCTATTTGATCCCTCTCTGCTGAATAAGAGATAGCAATCCACTCATAAACACCGTTTACCAGCAGCCTTGGGGACTTCCCAAAAGTCATTGCAGACTCTGCCAGGATGACGCAGCTACTCACCCTAAAGGCAGCTTCTCAGGAAAAATGTCTCAACTTTTCTTAACTACATATCTGTGGGGTAATCTGGACAGTTAAAGGATTGCAGTGCTAAATCTAACATTAAATATTGAATTAAAATATACATATTTTTTTTAGAAAACAACTGTTAAAGGCATGTGTTTCTTCTTAATCCAAGACAAATGCAACTATACTTTTAGAATGTGTTTGAAGCATCGAAGCTATGCTCAACTGTAACTGTTATTGTTGCAGGACTGCATTTTCCATTAACCTAGTCACAAAGCAATGCTTTGGAGGAAGTTTGATTGGGTAACCCCCCTTTCTACAATATGCTGACAAGGAAGTGGGGGGTTTTGTACATAGATACAAAAGACCACCAAAGAAAAACCAGCCGTTTTGAGCTGCAAGGCTAAAATAAGCTCACTGTGTCCAGACAGACTACGAGCCTGATGTGGTAGAGAGAAATTGTCTGTAATTTACTCACACATACTTAGACAAAAATTGATTTTACATTTCCTCTGTTTGCCATAAAGCAAAATCATTAAAATGCTGCAGCTGATCAAGACATTAGGCAGTCGTTTGCACATGAAACTACATAAAACAGTTTGCAGGTTTACAACAATGCTGGACTTTAAGCAGCTAGCTACCGAATTAATCAAAGCTTTTAGCTTGAGTGCTTTTGGCATAAAAGCATCAACCGCACAGACCAAGTACCTGCCTGCCTACTGTAAAATATTAATGGTTTAGAAACAGTATCTCCTCTTAGTCAGCAACAGGTGTGTCCAGTAAACAGCCAAGGCTCCGGATAGGGATATGACAAAACTAAGAGCCAATCCCAACGGACGCATCGTCTCAAAACACCACGACTGTCAGGACCCTTCAGGGAAAATGATGTCATTTCACTTGGCTTACATGCGGTGCTACTGAGGTAAACATTAGGCCAAGCTCGGTGCAGGGTTCTGCTGGTAGAGCTCAGCAATCTAAAACTAAGCCTAAAAATTTAAGGTAATTTAAGTTTGAGTTTGTTTAAGTTAATCTCTAAATCATCTAAATCAATCAAATACATGAAGACGGATTTTTTGAGATGGGGGGGGGTTATAAGAATTTAGTTATCTTGGCTTTTAAAAAAATACTTTTCTACAATTAGTTTAGTCAATGTTGCATTTATGTTTTAAAAATGATTAAGAGTTGCAGTGCTAAATGCAACTGCTGCAGTGAAATACCTTTGCTGATGAAGGCAATGTTTTATTTTTAGAGTAGAGCTTATGATGCTCTATGAGGATGCTGTTATATTCATAGTCAAAATCATGAATCCCTTTTAGCAGTCGGTCATATCATTAGGGATAGACAGATACATCGGTTAGCTGATTAGTACCCTTTTTTCCTTGTATCGACGTCATCAGATATGGACATGCATATGCAGATTCATCAGTGCATTTAGCAGACAAACATTGAGATCAATGCATTATCACTTCCTCCATTTGGTCACTTTAGATCACTGTAAATCATCATAATAAATGAAAGAATAATGCGATAGCCGAACAAATCTCGTTCTTTGCTGCTTGATTATTTAAGCAGCAAAGAACATTATGATTATCGTTTTTGTTTTTGCTGCGGGCTTGGACCTCAACAGTAAAATTTGTCCAAATATGACCCTCAGCAACACAGGATAATGCCAATCACAGAGTTCCTGCAATTTTATCAGAGTTTAAGCTTGCTTTAAGACCTTTTAATTATAATAAAGATTTTAGTACAAGACCGACAAACATTAGCTTCTCGTTCTCCCAGTTAAGATTTAAAGTTAGATGACAGGAAAACCCCAAAACAAAAGCTATTCTTAGCTACAACTAAACCAAATGGAAAAAATTAATCTGGACTCTGTGTTTTTTGGAAGAATAAAGTAAATAATGACAATCCAATGTCTGCACCTGTGCAATGTATACAGAGAGAGGGAGGGGTGCCAAACTCCAGTGGTGGGTGGACATTATGCAGGGTACAACCAAAGCATTGCAAGTAAAGAAATGGAAAAAAAAAAACAACCATGCACACACCCACTCAACCCATAGGGAAATTTTGATGTGACAGCTTAACCGAGCATGGACCATTCTAAACTGTGGGAGGAAGCCCTGAAGTGCAGAGAGAACCTATACATGCAGGGGGGAGAACATGCAAACTCCATGCAAAGATCACCAGGCTTTTAAAACCACAGATCTTTTTCATGTCAGGAAACAATAATGACAAACATGCCACCATGCAGCCAAACTAATAATAGACCTTTAAATTTTTTTTTCTACATAACATAAAATCCCTTAAAATTTCAATTAGTTTTATTTTCAAAGGTTTTCTAGGTTAGTAAAAGTCCATCCAGCTGGACAATTTTTTTTTTTATCGATACACAGAGGGTGAAAACATGACACTTGGAAAAATAGTTCACTACTACGTATTGTGTCAAAGTATTTACTTGCGACATCTATAAGATCTAAAATTGATGCATTTAGAACTATTAAAGTCTGGACTGTTATCAGAGGATAGAAAGGTGGCCTGAGCCTAGAGGTGAGCCATATTATATCAGAAAGTGTTAAAGCTTAATAGTAGGGCTTGACAATTAAAAGCGTTAACATTTATAGAGGTAAAACAATAACTTTTTTACTTCAGCCCTGTAAAATGTGTGACATTTACATGCATACATGTAGGAAAAGTAGCAGCTAGCGTGCAGACCCATGCACGCATGTTAACAGTACACAATTTTTTACAAAACAATATAGTCTATTGTTGGGAGACTCTATTGAGTTTTAAAGGCCATTTAAAAAAAATGGAAAACCCTGGAGCCAAACATATAAATTTTTTGGTCAGTGCACAAAAACAAAACAACATCACAATTAGGAAAAAGCTAAAAATAAATTCCAATTAGAATTTTTGGCAGAAAAAAACAAAAATAAACAAATAAATATAAAGAAAATTCACACAGCACATTAAAGGCATTGTTAATCTATGCTCCCCCTTACAAACAGATGATTGTTTACCTTTAATGCAGCTTTGTATATCTCTTGTACATCTCAAAAGTACTATAATTGTGTAAAAAAAAGTCAATATTTTTAGTCTCTCATTACAGAAAGCCATCCTTATATAGATCAATAAGAGTGAAATATGTCAAGCCTTTAACTAAATTGATTAATTTCAACTCAAAAGACCTGCAAAAGCTTCCCAAGCCTCTTCAAGGTCTCATCTAAATCTGGGTCAGTAGGCTTCATAATCATGGGGAAGCCTGCTGACGTGACAAATATCTAGAAGACAGTCATTGCCATCCTCCACAGGGAGGGTAAGCCACAAAGAGACAATGTTAAAGGAGATGGTTGCTTACAGAGCACTCTAAGCATATTTACAGAAAGTTAAGTGGAAGGAAAAAGTGCTTCAGCAGTGAGGACAGTTGCATTAAGTTTCCCAAGGAGTGAACTAAAGCTGAAATCAGTCATCAAGAGCCAGTAGGTATAAATAAGACTCCTAAATACGGCCCACAAATGCATCAAGCCGCTCCTTAACTACTAAATAGATCATCTTTGGTGACACAGTTGATAGCGCAGTAGCAACACCTTATGCTTCTACCTATGACACATAGGGAGTCATCGGTTGAACCTGGAAAATCACTGCCTCTCTCTCTCTCAACACCATCTTATTTAAATAGTGGCATGTTTTGGTGGCGGCCACCAGGAGTGAAAAGAGACTCCCGCAACGTTGTTAAATTGCAATCCAAAATTGCTGCTAGCACATCGTCAGAGCATCCTTGTTGAAGCCGTCATGTTAAACATCGAACCAACATATTTAACCCAAAATGGTTTGATGACCCTATAGACCCAAAGGCGGAGAAAGGTTTGGATATTTTCTACAACATGAACATAGTGACATTATGAAGCTCGCTAACATTATGTTGGCTTAACAGTAAAATGTTGCTACTAAGAAGAGTAGAATAATTAAACCACTATGCTTTAAGTCAATTGTAAAGTATCACAATGTTATCTTCTGGTGATGGTCCACTGATTGTCATTTCTTTCTAAATAAACTTTAGAGATCTTTGAACTTCCTTCTGCTGAAATTATTTATTAAGATGCCAATTTAATTTTCCAGCAGGGCTTGGTAGCTCTCCAAGCCGCAAAAAGTACCAAATGTTGACCCCAGTGTTACTATGCTTGGTTGGTCAGCAAACTGACCTGAAAGGGAAAGGATGAGGTAATCTCAAAATTAAGATACAGGCATGGAGAAGCCATGCCCTGCTGCACTGATGCACTATTTATTGCAGGAGGCCCAACCAAGTATTAAATGCACTGGTATCTAGATACTTCTCAAATATTTGCAGATATTTTACATTTTGGAGAAAATGGGTTTTCTGTTATCTGTTCACAACAAACAAAGTAAGAAAGGCTTAAAATATTTCAATTGTAAAGTATCACAATGTTATCTTCTGGTGATGGTCCACTGATTGTCATTTCTTTCTAAATAAACTTTAGAGATCTTTGAACTTCCTTCTGCTGAAATGATTTATTAAGATGCCAATTTAATTTTCCAGCAGGGCTTGGTAGCTCTCCAAGCCGCAAAAAGTACCAAATGTTGACCCCAGTGTTACTATGCTTGGTTGGTCAGCAAACTGACCTGAAAGGGAAAGGATGAGGTAATCTCAAAATTAAGATACAGGCATGGAGAAGCCATGCCCTGCTGCACTGATGCACTATTTATTGCAGGAGGCCCAACCAAGTATTAAATGCACTGGTATCTAGATACTTCTCAAATATTTGCAGATATTTTACATTTTGGAGACAATGGGTTTTCTGTTATCTGTTCACAACAAACAAAGTAAGAAAGGCTTAAAATATTTCACACCCCCAGTTTGACTTTCTAAATTTTTAATTTGTGTTTTTTGATTTACTGTAGGAAGAAATGTTTACTTTATTTAAATAAATACCCTTGTGACAATTAGTTTTACCCAATGTGATTTTTTTTATTCAACACATTATGTGTAATGCAAAAGCTTATTGAAGCTAAATTTTGAGCATCAAAGCTGCACAAGGAAGACTGCTTCTCACTATTGTTTTTGTTTTTACTGCAGGCAGAAGGAAACTACAAGAGCACTCCTCTCATTCAGCAGCAGTTAGCTACCTGGCAGCTAAAGCTCACCCTAAATAAGTCATCAAAACATTTAGCTGAATGTCTGGTTTGTCTTCTTGGCTTGCTACTAATCAATCAGATATATTAGACTTCAGAACCTTTATTGGATTACTGTATTTTCTGCAGTGTAGGAAAACATTTTTTAACACTTTTAAGCATCAGCCCAGAAAAAGAGAATATATTTTACTAAAACTAAACTCATACTGTTGTCTCTGAACTTCAAATGCATTTTTATAAAACAATGTATAGTATCCTGGATAAATTATGTGTTAATAATGTAAACCACATTTTCTCCCTGGCATGTATTCATTGCAAAAATCATCAAATTGGTTAACAGATACAATGATAAAACAAATGAAACCTAATGCATCAATATTGTTACTAATTCTTATGCATGTCCATATTATTGAATTTCTTTTATGTAGCCAATCAGGATTTTACCTTGCTAATATTTCACAATTAGAAAACTTTTTTTTCAGGTAAAATAATATGTGACCCATCCCACCCTGAGCCAAACATCTTTCTAATAGATGACATCAGTTTCTGGTCTAATGCCAATACTAAATAGGGTTAGGCCATCTTGACTCATCAGATACAATGGTGCTATGACATCAGCATCAGTTGTGGTCAAAGTTTATCAAGCAACACAACTCATGACAATTGTTTTCTTCAAAAAAAAAAAAAAAAAAGGATATGATTACCAATAGTTCCAAGAAATGGGATGTTTAATGAAAGAGAAAAAAAAAGCTGTCTTAGGAATTTTAAATTCTCTAAATGATATAAAAAAAAAAAAAAACGGGAGTACTGAGAAATGTATGAGCTCTTCTAAGCAGGGACTGAGCTAGAGGGGTGCCAGGGGTGGCCATGGCTACCCTTAGCCAATCAATGGCAACATTAAAATTTTTCATATATTAACAACTACTTGACAACAGAAACACTCTGGTTAATTATGCACATCAATATACAAACATTGAAGATGATAGATACGGAATTAATGCTCTTTTCAGAAATACATTTTGAATAATTTAGGGTAAAGATAAAATATGTGCCTCTGCAAGTCACCTAGGAGTCCTCAGTGAAATAATGGATAATTACTTTAATAATAACTTAAAAATTCATTAAATGTGGATATTAGTAGATTTAAATATAATTTTTTTGCTGAATGATTATTGATAAAAGTAGGTAATGACAATCTAAAATATGTTCGCGCCAGAACTCAAACCTGAAACAATTTTGTCCACCATCACTTTTATTTACACAGCATAGATGTTTAAATACATAGGCGGTTCTAGACAGGGGCCAACGGGGGCCAGTACCCTTGTAGATCATGTCCTGGCCCCTGCACTGAAGACATAAAACTCAAAGAAATTCAAATGATGATATGCGCTGGAACAGACATGGTTACAGATAGATCCTTTGGATCTATTTCATTTTTTTTTCTTTACAAATTATTTTTTACTAATTATTTAAAAACAATAAGGTGATACCTTCAGTGGTATTGAGGTAGGATCCCAGTTTTCATCTGCTATTTTTTTTTTTTTCCAAAACAAATTGCTCTAAATTTTTACAGCTGAATTTATCAGTTTTTCTTGAGTTCTAATTCAGATTTTATAGAACACGGCAATTTTAACTTAAATGAAGTCAAAAATATGTAAAATTCCTAAATTATGAATGAATATAGACCTAATAAGAAATAGAATTTTTATTAAACATAACTGAATAGAAATTTCACTTCATGCAGCTATCTTAATATATTTGAGTCCCTTGCCCTGTTTTTTATTTCATGCTTTTCTGGGCCCCCATAAAAACACTCTAGCCCCCTCAAACATTTGGTCTAAAACCACCACTGTTTAAATACAGTGTTTATACATAAATGTGCAACTCTTATTTAACACTTTTTAATGCTCTTAGAAATAATCCTAATGCAATCAGCAACTACCCATGACAGCCATATCCCGAGTTACTCGTTTTCCGCCACTTTGGTTCAAATTTGCATTTTTCCCCATTCTCTAGCCTTTTCTCCACCTCAAGCTTCTTTTCCGAAGCCATTTTAATGCCACGATTATCAAATTTAATGAATTTAATGCCAATTAAGGCCTTACTTTAAAAAAATAATAATTGAATGACCCACGGAAACCCTGAAATAAATACGTCTATTTGTTAGCAAAGGCTGCAGGAAAGTATAGTCTGTCTTTATTTAGAAAATATGGAAGTTGTGCTTGTTCCTATTAATACAGTGTAGATTGACCCCGAGGTTCTGGTGCCTTTCAGCCACCCCTATTAGGATTTTCTGGCTACGCCTCTGCTTCTAAGCCAGCTAGATGTTCGGTGGAAAATACCCGAAATACATACGTAATGTGAACAAGAATTTCTGGATTGTGTATGGGATCAAAGAGTCAATAGCTGTGAGCAGAGTCACCATCAGGAAGCACCAGCCTTAGAGCAGGTCCATATACAGACAGTGATGACTCATGCACAGATAATCTTCCACACCACCCTATCAGGACAGTTAGGGAGAAGCCAATCTCTAAACATGCCGCAAAACTACGAGACCTCAATGTTCTCTGAAAAAGAAAAAAAAAAAGTCGGAATGACACGAAGAAAATGTCCCGTAAACGCAGAACCTGTGTAGCAACATGAAGACAGTCAACTGTTAACTAATGAGGAAACTGTGTTGCAGGTCTAAACCTGCCGCCTTGGGGCCGGGGCGCGCGCCGCGGCTGCTGCCCACCATGGTAACGTTGCTATTATTGTGTAACAACAGCGCGAGCGCTGAACTTGAAATGTAAATTGACATCATTGCAGTCACGCTATGAGTGACGCAAAGCAAGAAGCTTGATTCATTTTTCCAAGGAGTGGTTTCTGTCTTCTTTTTTTTTTTCTTGCTTGTTTCCCTTTTCCATCTAATTTCACATCTTTGTGAAACGAATCTGTTGAGACGTGTAAAACGTTATAAATACCTGAGTGTAGAAGAAACTAACAGCAACAACAAAAAAAAAAAAAAAAAAAACACCTGTGGATTTAACTTCATATATAGATCGCAGTGATTTTAATGTTAAGTATCTTAACATTTAAGTCAGCACAATTAGTCATTACTACGGCTAACTTAAAAAAAAAAGCAAATTTAGCCAATTTAATATTAAAAACTACTAATTAACATGCGATATGATAAGGAGATTGTATTCAACTTCTGAAAATCTTTACATTTTGTTTAGTGATTTCCAAAAAGGCAGGAAATGCTTGAGCTAGGCTTCCACCTGGCAAGGTTACATTACACAAAGCTAGCTGAAGTTTCCCTCCACCGGCACAGCGGTAGAAGAATGCGCGTGCAAAATTGACCAAAAAACACTTACCTTTGGATAAAGACATTTCCCCTTTTCTTTGATGAGGGGGAAGGGAAGCACAAAGACTTTTGCCTTTTTCTATTCCCCCCTCCCTGCATCTACTCTTAAACCCGCTCAGGAACGCTGTTTCGTGGGTGCAAATATCTAAAGGTGGACAAAAATAAGCACTTTCCCTTGGAGCTAGCCTAGCGCTAAAATACCTGCTAAAAAAAACGCTTGGCAGCAAGGTGCACAACTTTAAACCTTGAGTAAAGCCGAGCAGTTCGAGTTAGTTTGCTAACAAAAACCTTCGCCGGGGTGGCCAAAGTCTGACAGCTGAGGACTCCAGCAACGTGATGACGTAGTTCCTGTCAGGTGCTAAGCATCATGGAAGGTGTAGTTTCAGGACGTAAAACGGCAAACACTAACCTGATCCTGGAGTTAATATAAAATTTGAGAAAGCGAAACTTTACATATTCATCATTTAATGAAAAAAATAAAGAAGTAAAACAAGTAAAAGCAAAAACATTTTAAAACTTATTTTCAAATCAGTAATATCAGTGAAAAATATTTATTAATCACTTAAGCATTGTAAGGTCGTGCTTATTCGGTGGCTTTTACTGATCAACCCTAAAGTTTATTAGCCGTAAACTATAAATGATTTGTTCCCTTTGTGTTCTTTTTCTGATTTTTGCAAAAGCGTAAAATAAAAGACATTTTAGCAATGATACACAAGGATTTAATTTGTATTTGTTAACTTTGAGATAAACCCAGAAGGTACATAGCAAATCTGCACATGACCTAGATTTACAAGCAAAAATAAAAGAGAACAAAATTTTTTATTTATTTATTTTTTTTGCTTTTAAGGGGTTGAAATAGATGAAAGAAAAAGATGCTCGTCTTGGGAAACATTAATAGCACTGATGCAAGATTAGTCATGAATCCCATCAACAAACAAAAGTTATTTTTAATTCATAATTTATTTTACAACGGAGAGAAAAAAAATGTCATTCAAAATAAGTAAATAATTCATGAAAACAAGCTTATATTGAAAGATAAATCAATACCTAGAATAAAAAAAATCTATTCTCCTCTATGAGGCTACACAGCGGCCCACACCCACATATATTTGTAAGAAAGCAAAAAAAGAAATTTGACAAGCAATACCTCTAAAAGGAAAAACATCTCTGGGTAGTAATCATACATATCTAGTCCTGCAAGACAACTACATCACACCAAAACCTTTGAAAACATTTTAGTTTAAATATAATATAGTGGTGCACACAACTGTGGTTCTAAAATGTGAGTAATGGATTAAATATCTCTATTTGACTTAAGAGAAAATAATAATCCATAAATAGTGGGGGTTGTTTTCTTAAAGCAATATCAGTATATGACCCACTCAGTCTTCATTAACAATTACAACAATCCATGAATTCAAGGAGAAACTTCTACTTAATAAGATGATTTTAAAAAATACAGTAACTTCGATGTCATGTTGCTCTTATTACACACAAGTCACAGAAATATCTTACTACTATTGCAGTGATAATCACAGCTTGTCTGTCAATCTTTTCTTTCAGTGTTTTGCTATAGCTGGAAGACAAAAGAATAAAGGAAATGTTAAAATGTGATTATCATACAGCTGACACATGATATGAGTGTGCTTTGAAAAATGTGCATGTGATTGTGTGGGCAGATACAGTGAGGTGATACAGAATTCCTGTTTTTACTTCCTGGCAACAAGCAAGCTATGGTAGAGAGGTTTGATCACAATGTGCAGATAGAGGGAGCTATCAATGAGGTACTCTGATGCACGGCGCTGTAGGTCAGCATCCATCAAGAAATCTCCAGCCTCTTCTGTGCTCTGGTGGAAGTTGTACACATGGCGGACAATCACTTTTCCCTGCTGCTTTGCCAGCACGATAATTGTTTTCTGGAAACTGACTCCGGCAAAGTCGGGGCTGGAGGTGGCAGGCGTTACGATGATGCGAGGTCGGCCTCCCTCTGTACGAGTAGGCTGCATGGCACCCAGCTCAGTGTAGGTAGACCTCGCACTCAGTGGGAGCCAGCGAGGGGAGAACAGGGCATTCCACGTTACTCTCTTGTTGGAGTCATGGCCACTTGGCCCAAGCTGGGTCTGGAAGCTGAAACTACGGTCGTCACGAGTAGGGTTGTTGATGATCCAAGGAGAACCCCAAGAAGAGGACAGGTAGTTACGGGGAGTGAAGATACTACAGTTGACATCAAAATATTTAGCCAGCTGGATCGGTGAGGCAGAGTGAAACTGAAAGGCGAGATAAAGGAGATCACGGATGGTCTCATAATACTTTGCCATGAGGGGTGACTGCTTCTGAAGACGGAAGAGATGGTGAGGGGGGATCATGCCATACCGAACCGCCCTAAGGGCAGTCTCTACTGTTGTGCTGACTGGCTGGTTCTGGTTAATCCAGGCCTCCACAGCCTCATAGAGCTCCAGTTCGCTATGCAGAATGAGGTCAGAGCGCTGGAGCAAGGACAGGAGCAGGTCTTCACTAATAGAACCCCACTCTCCACTCTGCAACACAGAGGACAGATTCCAGGACAGGTACTGCAGACAGCTATCCCGCAGGGTTGCGTCCCCAATTTGTAGTGCATAGTTGTACCAACTAACAACATGGCCTGTGGGTGAATCACTGGAAAGATGTTGAGTCATGTACTGGGTTAGGCCTTGCCGCAAGCCCCACACATGGTATTTGCTGGCCAGCTTGTGCAGGGATACAGCCTGATCGAGCCGTAATGAGATGTCACCACAGTACAAATATCTGAAAAAAATACAAATTTTAAAATCATTGTTAGACAGAACATTTATTTTTGGAAGGTTTCTAAAGAATTATAGATTAACAGAAAAACTGATTGGTGTCTGAAATTGTTCAATTGTTAAAATTATAACCTATAGTACGGTTCCTCAGTTATGATCTTCAAGGTCTGGTGCCCTGCACCTTTTAGATGTGTCTCCGACACACCTTGTAACACACCTGTATTAAATGGCTGGATTATCTCTTTAGTATGCAGTCACTTTTGCCTTAGTCTTGCTAATGACCTGATTATCTAAGTTAGGTGTGTTGAAGCTGAAGCACGTTTTAAAGGTGCAGGACACTGGACCAGATTTGAGGAAGCACAAAGGTTGTTGGAAACATTTATATAGGAAATAGCATTTTCTTCAAAGGCATGTTCACCGTTCAATCCATCTACAACAGCATAGTAGTTTGATCAGCAGATATCATAAAGCTGAACATTACACCCCTTTGAAGAATTTTACTTTCTCTTTCTTAAAAGATGTTGGATATAAAACTGCTGCCCGTCTTCTGGAAATCCAACAAATAGGGATCAGCAAGGATAATTCACTGAGGCTGATGTATACATTAAGTAGGACTAGTCCCTGCTAATCATTCTCATAGATGTTATGAGATTCCAACCTAACCCTAGTTTAAGCGTTAACTCTGAATTTATTTTTTTGTGACATATTAGTACTGTTTTTTTTTTTTTTAGATGAATAACTAATGATTTATTTGTGAAAGATAAATTTGGGCTGCTGTAAAAGTACAATGTATGAGTGATCTTCAAAAGGATTTAGGTCTGCAAAAGAGTTAGAATGTCATTATAGTTTGGTTTTATTATTTGATATCTCTGCAACATTATTTGGAAGACCTCCTGGAAAGGATTGCAACATAACTTCACTCTATAACTTTCAGCTGCTTTTAAGAAATCATAGTTTTACTATTCCAATACCTACACATTTTGCTGCAAAGATTGGCCAAAAAAATTTATCTGATTGTGTGTCTCTCTGTAGAGGTACCCCAGCGATCCTCACCTGACAAACTTGTCAAAGAGAGCAGCGCACTCAGGTGTTTCCGTCAAAACTAGAGCGCTGTTGTTGCGGTTCAGCAACAGCTCCTCAAACACGTCGCTCTGCAGAGAAAGGACCAGACTGTGGGCCTGAATCACCTTCACCTCGTCTGTATTAATTGTTTGCACCCGGAGGCTAACATCGCTGCTGTTCCCTAGGGTCAGCAGGTTCTCCATACGATGCACCAAATGCATGGAGTGATTGAGAACTGTGGCACCGCTGTCCAATGCTGCTTCCTGCTTCACTGGAGCTATGCAAAGAAAAAAAAACAGCGGGGTGGGTTTAGATTCAGACTATAAAGATTACTCTGTATATGTAATTGGAGAGTTTGCTTGACTGAGGAAGATAGACATTTATTTTACTTTAAGTTTACTTCAAACAGCAAAAATTTAGAAAAAAAGCATATTTTAACTCTTGAACTGAGCTCTAGCTGATAAATGTAAATGTATTACCAATATATAACCTGCTAGCGGAACTTCAGACTTGCACAACCTCTCTTCTCAAGCTCCTAATTGATTAAAAACTGCACAGGAAACCTCAGATACCAGGTGCACACCAAAAGAGAAACCTGCATTTGCAGCTCCTTTGCAGATGGCTTATTATTCTATAGGCTCTCGTAAACACAAGGAGAAATGTGGACATCCTAGAGACTCCTACATGAAAGAGTCATTCAAGTAGCCTTGTTGGTCTTCTATTGGGGATTTAATGAGACATCAGGGGAGTATATTTATCTCCCCTCAGATTTTTCGACTCCCTACTATAATGAAGAACCCCCACTTCAAAGTCTCCTTTCTCTTTTTAAGAAAATGAGCCCAAAGTGGAATGTGGATGTGAACCGTTAGATGTTACTGACTGCACGTCCCATTCAATCGTAACTAAAAGCATTGCATTACACAGGGCAGTTCAACTGTTATGTAATAAACTATTTTTTACTTCTTTAGAAAAAAGGGAAAAATAACCTACAAAGCAGGTATACCCACACATGCAAACTTAATAACGAAGAATGCCCATTTGCTTCTTTCACCTAACAAGAAAAAAGCTATTTATATTTGGGTTATGTGTATAAATATTGTTCATAATCATAAAAACAATCTAGAGATGTGTAGCTCTACATGCAGCACTGTCAAAATTATTTCCCTAGAAAAGCAGGTATAGACTGTAAAGTAACTCTTTTCCTAATTTAACACCAGATGACAAATAAACTTGGCTTTTTCTTTACATGCATACAGATGAGAACCGAATGAGCTGCCTAAATAATCATCCATCAAGACACAGTCTCATGCTGATTCCCCCTATCCAGTAACAGCATGGGGGAAGCAGGACTGAAATAGAACAATTCAGCTTTCTTTACAATGCAGAATATATTTTTGTAGAAGTGAAAGCAAGCCATCAACATTTGTATTGTCTTACCTCCACTAACTGAGACTGAGTAGAAGTGAAAAAAGAAGAGCAGAGTGCCCACATAAACCC